TCATGAATAAAGTTCGCAAAATTGCACCTGTGCAGCAGCAAGAGCAATTGTTGCAAGCATTGAGCGGTCCCCCCATCTAAGAGCAATAAGGCAGATACTTAAATTGGAGAACATGCTTAAGGACAGAAACTTTTAAAGAGCGTTTACCAAAACAAAAAAGATTTCGAGGACAATGTTACATTCAAATCAAGACATGATAAACAATACTCAGCATCCATCTATTAGTATCATATCTGCTACAATGGGTTTGATCTAGAATAAAACAACCATATCATGGCATGAAAGGATTCTACTTGTATGTTACATAAGATGTGCACAGATATGCGTGGCTATTTAACAAAAATGACATTTATGAATACATTTTCACAATAGGACTTCCCAGAATTCAGAAAATGGCACCTCCAGACAGACATTAGGCTAAAAAAGGGTGGCAATCACCAATATAATGGAGACTACCGCAGCCATATTTGTTGAAATAAAACTCAAGCAGAAACTTTTTCCCATTATAGATTCTCTCAGGAAAGAAATGGCAAAGAAATGCTTACAGCAAAGAATACAAGGCTGAATGACTTCCAGAGAATTTCAAGTGGATTTGACAGTCGTTTGGTCACCTGAGAACAGTTTGAACAGAAAACATCAAAATATTTAGCGAAATATACTAGAAAGAAAAAAAAAAATACATGCAAACATAGAGATCTGTAGTAATTGTTAAGAAAAATAATAAAAAGTAAATGTATTGGAAGCACTCAGAACAATACCTTTTCTTTCACAAGTTCCTCAGCTTCAGCTAGTTCATCAAGTTCAGGGCCATTTTTCTCACCCCTCTTTACATCACTAGATGGAAGGTCCCATGCATCTTTAATAGATTTTAGACCAAAAAACAATAGAAGAGCCACTGCCGCATATTCTCCAATTGGCAAAGCTGTTTTACCAAAGGATGACACATGTTAGACTATTTAGTATGAAAAATAACCGCTAGGTTCTAGCACATCAGATAAAAATATCAGATTTCAAAAATATGGAGCCTAATGAATTTGCGAATTTTAAGCATAGCATCATAAGTTACAAAGGATTCGGACCTACAACCTTTCAAAAATATGAAGCCTGGAAGTATCAAAAGATATTAACTTCTGTACCACTAGAGACTTGCGACCTTTCTCATGTTAACCTAAGCTATTTGCTAACAAATGGCAGTTACTTTTTTTTTTTTTTTGAGATAACAGCAAATGGCAGTTACTAGAAAACTTTTAAGGTTGAAATTTTTCATCATGAGGA